CAGCGGTGGGAGAGGGTGGCTGGCGTGCGCAAGCCGCCAGCCGGGTGAGGGGGCCAAATCAAATCCGCTGCGCAGCAGCGCTCCTCAGCTTTCTGTTCTGAACACCCCAGTGCGCCCCCTCACCCGGATTTCTGCTGGCGCAAGAAATCCGACCTCTCCCACCGCATGGCGGGGGAGAGGTGGGAGACTTTCCCGATTCCCGATTCCCGATTCCCGATTTGCCGACCTGCCGACTGCCGCCGTATCTACCTCGCCATCACCGCCGCCCCCACCAGCCCCGCGTTCTCGCGGAGTTCTGTGAGGCGGACGTCGATCTTCGGGCGGCCCTCCTTCGGGAAGAGGTAGCGCTCGATGGATTCGCTCACGAGGTCCGCGTAGTCGCGGCCCATCACCTCCGTGAGGCCGCCGCCCAGGATGACCACGGGGGCGGCGAGGATCGACAGGGCGTTGGCGATTCCGACGCCGAGAAGGTGCGCGCCGCGCGTGATCTCCTCGCGCACGATCGCGTCGTTCGCGTCCCACGCCTCGCGCAGGTCCGCGGCCGTGACGCGTCCGGTGACGTCGAGTTTGGATTTCTCGCCCCGCGCGGCCCGCGCGAGGATGCGCTTGGTGATGAATCCGCGGGAGGTGTGGTGCTCGAGGAGCTGCTGGCCCTCAGCCGCGTCGGGGTAGAGGACGGTCTGGCCGATCTCGAGGGCCGAGCCGAAACCGCCGTGGTAGAGCCTGCCGTTCTGGACGAGCCCGCCGCCGACGCCGGTGCCGACCCAGACGCCCAGGGCCATCGTCGCGTTGCGTCCGGCGCCGCAGTGGCACTCGCCCATGGTCGCGGCGTTCACGTCGTTGTCGACGGCGACGCGCAGGCCGCCCAGCCGATCGCTGAGCATTTGCGCAAGTGGGACGCCGTACCACTTGATATTCGGCGCGCTGATGACGGTGCCGGTGGGGAGGTCGATGGTGCCCGGCGCGCCGACGCCCAGGGCGTGGAGCTTGGCGAGGTTGATGTCCGCCATCGCGCACGCTTCCTCGACGGCCTCGGCGAGTCGGGCGATGACGTCGGCGTGCCCCTTCTCGGCGTGCGTCATCATGTTCGCCCGCGCGAGGAGGCGGCCCGTGGCGTCCACAAGCCCGACCTGCGCGTGCGTGCCGCCCAGGTCGATGCCGGCGGTGATGGGCGGGGTGAACTGGGGAGGCATGGGTGGATGGTACTTGGTTGGAGGTAGCAACCGCGACCGTGAGGGAGCGGACTACGCCCCCGACCACCAGCCCAAGCCCCAAGCACGAAACATGCCCGGTCAGTGTGTGCCGACACCACCGGTCGATGGAGACGCAGTCCGCTCCCTCACGGTCGCGGTTGCTACCGCTCGCACCTCGCTAGCATGACCCCGTGAATCTCCTTCTCACCCTCCTTATCGCCTGGCTCCTCTTCGCGATCTTCGTCGCGTGGCTCACGCGCGTGTCGCCGCGGGGGCGGGACGGGTCGGCCGAAGCGTTCATCGGGTCGATGCTCATCCGGATCGCGCAGGTGTACTCGCGGCTCGTTCACGGGCTTCGTGTGGAGGGGCGGGAGCACGTTCCGGACCGTTCGTGGGGCGAGGTTCAGGAACGCGGGCTGTTGATCGTTGCGAATCACACCGCGGGGATCGACCCGGTGCTCCTCTTCGCGGCGTTGCCGTTCGAGCCTCGGTTTGTGATGGGGGAGGACATGCGCGTGGCGGTGCTCGAGCCGCTCATGTCGTTCGGGCGGGTGATCTTCGTGGACCGCGAGGGCGGGCCGAGCGGGGCGGCGGTGCGGGAGATCGTGAAGGAACTTAAGGGGGGCGGGGTGATCGGGCTTTTTCCGGAGGGGCACATCGAGCGCCCGCCTCAGCGGGTGCTGCCGTTCCGGGACGGGGTGGGGCTGTTTATTCGGCGGGCGAACCCGCTCGTGTTGCCGGTGGTGATCGACGGGACGCCCCAGGTGGACCCGGCGTGGGCGTCGATGCACAAGTTCAGCCGGTCGACGGCGCGGTTCCTCCCCGTGCGGGACTACGCGGGGGAGAAGATGGGGGCGGGGGAGATCGCGGAAGATCTGCGCCGGGTGTTCCTGGAGGCGACGGGGTGGCCGGCGAACGACACGCCGCCCCGGGTTGTCGATGGCGTCGTTGTGTACGAGGATGGGGTCGATGCTCTACCTGCTCCGCGGCACGCTGACTGATCTGAACGGCACGACGGCGATCGTCGCGCCGGAGGGGGACGCGGCGCGCCGGTACGAGGTGATGCTGCCGTCGTACCTCGCGGTGCAGCTCGCGGCGAGCGAGGGCGAGGCGGTGGAGTTCCACACGATCGAGTACCTGGAGTCGCACGGGCAGGGCAGCTCGTTCATCCCGCGGCTCATCGGTTTTCCGTCGCTCGAGGCGCGCCGGTTCTTCGAGCTGTTCACGACGGTGAAGGGCATCGGGATGCGCAAGGCGCTGCGCGCGATGGCGGCGTCGCCCGCGGAGATCGCGCGGGCCATCCATGAGCGGGACACGAAGTTCCTCATCGCCCTGCCCGAGCTGGGCAAGCGCTCGAGCGAGACGATCGTCGCCGAACTGACCGGCAAGGTGGACGCGTACGTCCGCGAGGCGACGACACCCGGAGCGCAGGTCGAGGCCAAGCCGACGACGCGGCTCGAATCCGAGGCGGCGCTGCGGGCCGTCGCGGCGCTCGTGCGACTGGGCGAGACGGAGAACGATGCGCGCAAGCTCGTCGAGCGCGTGCTGGACGCGGACGAGTCGCTCACCGACGCCGACGCGATCCTCGCGGCCAGCTTCGAGGCGCGCTAATTCCAACACTTTCTGAGGGAGAGAGACAACGACCATGCGGTACGCGGTGATCATGGCGGGCGGTTCGGGAACACGGCTCTGGCCGGTGAGCGTGCAGGGCGAGCCGAAGCAGCTCGTCCGATTCATCCCGGGCCCGGACGGCGTTCCGCGGTCCCTCCTGCACATCGCGGCCGATCGCCTGGAGGGCCTGGTCCCCGGCGCGCAGCGGCTCATCTGCACGGGCGAGGTGCACCGCGGGCGCATCAAGGAGGGGATCCCGGGCATCACGGACGACCAGATCATCGGCGAGCCGATGCCGCGCGACACGGTGAACGCCGTGGGATTGAGCGCGGCCATCCTGGAGAAGCAGGACCCGGACGCGGTCTTCGCGGTGCTCACGGCCGACCATTTGATCGAGCCGGAGGAGACGTTCCGAGCGCGGATGGAGCTGGGGTACCGGCTGGTGGAGGAGGACCCGAACCGCCTCGTGACGTTCGCGATCGAGCCGACGTTCCCGGCGACGGGGTTCGGCTACGTGAAACGCGGCACGCCGATCGAGAAGACGGACGGCCTCGCGTTCGAGGTCGAGCGGTTCGTCGAGAAGCCGGACGAGGCGACGGCGAAGTCTTACGTCGACTCGGGCGAGTACGGGTGGAACTCGGGGATGTTCGTCTGGCGCGCGAGCACGGTGATGAGGGCGCTGGAGACGTTCAAGCCGGAGATCGCGCGCGGGCTGCGCACGATCCAGAAGGCGTGGGGGACGGAGAAGCAGGCGGAGGTGCTCGCAGAGGTCTTCCCGAAGCTCGAGAAGATCAGCGTGGACTTCGCGCTCATGGAGCCCGCGACGGACCCGGACCAGCGCGGCGACCTGCAGGTGTGCACGGTGACGATGGATCTGGACTGGCTCGACGTCGGGAGCTGGCCCAGCTTCGGCGAGACGCTGGACGCGGACGCCCAAGGCAACGCGCACACCGGCGGGGCGATCGCGATGGACTCCTCGGGCACGCTCACGGTGAACCGGTCCGAGAACCACACGGTGTGCCTGCTGGGGTGCGAGGACCTGATCGTGATCCACACGGATCGGGCGACGCTCGTGATGCCGCGGGGGAAGGCGCAGGACCTCAAAAAGCTGCACGGGACGCTGCCGGACGAGCTGAAGTAAACCCCTGGCCGGGGTCGGGTTCCGTTCGCCTGCGTGAAATCCGCGTGGTCGGCCTCCCTAGAATGCTCTCATGGGATCCACCCTTCTGCTCATCATCGTGAGCCTCATCGCGGGGGCTCTTGGCGTGACGACGGTCGTTCTGCTTCTGCGCAAGGCGCCGACGTCGCTCACCTCGGTCGGCGTGACGGAGCGCGTGCGCTCGGTCGGGCGGCTCGTCGGGCTGGAGGTGCACGCGAAGGAGATCGCGACGTCCACCAAGGGGTGGTCGTGGATGCCTCCCATCCTCCTGAGCCAGGCGAAGATCGCGATGATCTTTCACTTCGAGAAGCAGTACTCCGTCGATCTCGCGCGCCTCACCGACGAGCACGTCGAGTGCACGGGCGTGAACCAGTACCGCGTGACGCTCCCTGCAGTGGAGGGCGCGCTGCGGCTCACGGACGTGACGCCGTACGACATCCAGGCGGGCCGGATCCTGGGCCTGCTGGACGTGATCCAGATGAACGCCCAGACGCAGGCCGCGCTGATGCAGGCGGCGCAGGAGCAGGCGGCGAGCCTGTACGCGGAGAACGAGACGAAGTACATGACCGAGGCGAAGCGGAGCATCGAGCGTCAGATCGCGTCGCTGCTCGGGCTGATGAATGTCGAGGTGGAGATCGTCTGGCGCGAGAGCGAGACTCGCATGGGGGACATGAAGGTCGCGAAGGCGGTGAAGGATCAGCTGGGGATGGCGGGCTGAGCCCGTATTCGGGCTCTGGCACGCGATCCGAACTCCGCGGTAACCCCCCGGGCGCGACGGTATCCAAACAACCATGAACACACACCCCACCCCGTGGCGTCGTGTCGCGTTGGCGCTGGCCGCCTGCGCGACGCTCGGCGCCTGCGCGACGACGGAGAACGACACCATGGCCGGATCCAGCCAGACCGAATCGCTCGGTGAGCAGCTCGACGCGTATCGCGAGGGCTTCAACCAGCGAGCCGACGATGAGACAAAGCGGGCCTATGACACGGGCGTTCGGCTCGTCGACGAGATGAATCTGGACGCGACCGCGATCGGTGTCGGGGACACCGCGCCGGACTTCTCGCTCCCCGACGCCACGGGCGGGACCACTACCCTCAGCGAGCTGCTGAAAGAGGGGCCCGTCATCCTCGTCTGGTACCGCGGTGGGTGGTGCCCGTACTGCAACATCCAGCTGCACAGTTACCAGGGCCACCTCGCCGAGATCAAGGGTCTGGGCGGTCGGCTCGTCGCGATCTCGCCCGAGACGCCGGACAACTCGCTGAGCACGAAAGAGAAGAACGAGCTGGAGTTCCACGTCGTCTCCGACGAGGGCAACCGCGTCGCGCGAGACTATGGCGTCGTCTACCGGCTCCCCGGCATCGTGCAGAGCAAGTTCGAGGGGCGGCTCGACATCCCCGCTTACAACGGCGACGACTCGTGGACGCTCCCCCTCGCCGCCACCTACGTGATCGACACGGACCGGACGGTGCGATACGCCTTCCTGAGCGCCGATTACCGCGAGCGGGCCGAGCCGACCGAGGTGATCGACGTGCTCCGCGATCTGGACTGAGCGGGCGGCCTCCCGCCTGCGGGCGGGCAACGCGAGGCGGCTGGGGCCTAGAATTGCCTCCCCATGACCACCGCCGCCGCCCAACCCTCGCGCACGCTCCCCACGCCGAACGAGCTCGCTCACGCCCTGGGCGACATCAAGCTCGCACACTCGGTCTTTGCGATGCCCTTCGCGGTGCTCGCGGCCGCGCTCGCGATGCCGGCGGGGGCGAGCACGGGCACGGTCGCGGGGCTGGTCGGGCTTGTGGTGCTCTGCATGGTGCTCGCGCGGACGTGGGCGATGCTCGTCAACCGGCTCGCGGATCACCGGATCGATGCGGAGAACCCGCGGACGCAACGGCGCGCGGTCGCGTCGGGGCGGGTGCGGGTGAGGTCCGGGTGGTTGATCGCGCTCGGGTGCGCGGCGTTGTTCGTCGGGGCGTGCTCGCTTTTTCTTGTGTTCTTCGCCAACCCGTGGCCGGTGATGCTCGCGGTCCCCGTGCTCGGGTGGATCGCGCTGTACTCGTACACCAAGCGTTTCACGGCGCTGTGCCACGTCTTCCTCGGCTCGGCGCTGGCGATCTCGCCGATCGCGGCGGTGATTGCCGTGAACCCGGACGCGCTGCTGACGGCGGGTGTCGGCGGCGCGGTGGCGTGCCTCGCGGGGTTCGTGCTCCTGTGGGTGGCGGGGTTTGATGTCGCGTACGCGCTGCAGGACATGGAATTCGACCGCTCGACCGGGCTGCACTCGATCCCCGCGAAGCTGGGCGCCTCCGGCGCGCTGTGGGTGAGCCGGGCGATGCATGCGCTCGCCTTCGCGGGGCTCGTCGGGGCGCAGCTGCTCTCGCCGGCGCTCGCGGGGTTCTTCTGGGCGGCCCTCGGGGTCGTCGCGATCGCGCTGCTCGTCGAGCACGCGGTGCTCACGAAGCAGGGGGTGAAGGGGCTGCCGATCGCGTTCTTCACGATGAACGGCGTGATCTCCGTGGCGATCGCCGCGTTGGGCATCGCGGACATCCTCACCTGACCCCCCCCCCCCCCCCCCC